TTCTGTAGAAATAAGTTATTAAACAAAAGAAACAGAGTTAGAACAAAAAGCGAAAGAAGAGGCCGAAGAAGTAGGTGAACCCTGTAGGATTAAAACTTTCATTCTTTGGATGTAAGTATGAGACTATAACCACTATCTCTCTCCCTAATGTTGAACATGAATGCAGTGTAGCTAGGATACTGCTCGTGCAAATTTGACCAAGACAATATCTCTAACTCTCATGCAATCAACAAAAAGCTATTGTAACTGACTTGATGTTATGTTTTAGCTAGAATTTCTTTTCTGTAAAGGATGTGTATTTCAGTATTTGACAAATAGGTATACTAAAAAAGCACACAATGAAAAAGGCTCCTTGAGAAAACATTTCGACCTTCATTGTTTTGTTTGTCAAATCATAGCTTCAAGAACTTGATCATCTCTATTTCTCACTTTTGCATAGAAAAAGGAACCGTTAAACTCTGTCCGGTACAATAACAATTCTTCTGATACTTGGTTTCATGATCTAAAATACCACACTTGATTTGCTGAACTCTGGAGATAAAATTGAATGTACGATTCATGACATAAGGCAGTTATTTTATCCTTTATATGACAATAGTGATTTCTGGGATATTCTCCTCATTGCTGATATACTATCAACACTCAGAAAGGAGATTTCACTTCCAAATTTGTCGACTGAAATGAATTTTTAAATTTTAATATCATAAGAGTATAGTTGGAAACCAACTATCAAATCATTCATTATGTAATGCGTGTGTTTCCTCTCAGGTAGGTTTTGAGATGATAGACGCTATAGCTGAAGCTGAAGGAATATCTGTAAACAGCATATGCTCCAAAGCATTATTTGGGAAAGGTGCTCACTCATATAAGAATATTGCAGTTTTCTGTAATGCTATATAGTATATAGTTACATTTATTTTGTAACAATAACCATATGCTGTATGTTTGCATTTGCTAGCGAGTGCATGTTTTAACTGAATGGGAATTTTTTCTTTTCATCTGATATTTTCATATGTTCCTTCACTTTACCAAATGTAAGTCAAAGTTTCAAATCATGTTTAACTTTCACTATTGGGTATATTGTTGGTTATTGTTAGTGCTTAGTATCTGTGTACTTTGCAAATGGTATCAGTCCCCGCAAAGTTTTCTTTTCTTTTCTTTTTAAAGTCAGCAAGCATCGGTTGTCAAATCTCACCTGTGCAGAAAACTTGCGATTTTCATTTTTTTGACCTTTTTTTTATTATATAGGTGGATGCCTGCTAGTTATTTCAGATTAGTTAGCAATCTATGAGAGCAGTTGAAGTATGACATTAATAATCTTATATTAAGGATCTGTATTGAACTTTGACACACTTTTTTATTATTAGTTTAATATTGTACTGCCTAATGAGTGCTGTTTGTAGTTCCGAAAGTCTGTTGAATTAATATGTAAAGAGCTGTCAATGGTTTCTTCCTTTAATAATGCAAAATTGAAATTATATACTCCAAAACTATAGTTAAAATGACAAATCCACTAGAGGCAAAAGAAGTGTGCATCTGTCCCTGTTCATTAATAAACTCCAGGACGATGGTTCTATGTCCTCTTACTGGCAATAATGGCCCTTGCGATGTGACCTCTGATATTCCTTTGTGACACAGATGAATATCATAATTCTTTTCTTTTATTTGAGAAATGTAAATAAGTTTGATTTTAAGTTTTACTTTTCTCTACCTTTTTAAGAGGGAGTGCTGGCCTGTCAGGCATTATTAACATTGAATGAAAATGCTCACCTGAAAAGGACCACTATTTTGTTTTGCACAAAACCTCCTAAACTTTATAAATTAGATGAAAACTCTAAACTCTACCAGAACTACTTTGAAAAACCACGGTGTTAACCTGAAGGGTTAACGGTCTAAACTACCCTGTTACTATCAGTGCCATTGATATTGGTGAGAAGTAGGAGAATGAAGTAGAGGCAGATGACATGGAGAAATAGAGGAGATCTCGACAAGGAAGTAAAAGAGAAAGGAATGGTGAGGAAGAGAAAGGAGGAGGTACAGGATTTGGTTGAGGGAGTCGGGGTTATCAACGGAGATGGGCTGGATGGGGATGAGGCAGAAGAGGCAGATGGCAGCAGAGAAGTAGAAGAGATTTCAACTTAGAGGGAAAAAAGAGAAGGGGAGGATGAGGGAGATGAAGGAGGGGAGAGGATTTGGTAGGTTATTCAGGGGAGCTTGAGAGGATTCGGGAAGGAGAGGAGGGAGGGGTTGCTGGGGGGAGTTGAGACAAACTACGATGAAGGAGTAGAGGGGTTTCCAGCAAGGGTTGTGGTTGATATGACCGATGTGTTTAGGGCGGTTTCGTGCAAACCCCCAAGTTTACAGGGGTTCTGTGAAATTTACCCCAAGGATAATATAGCTGGTATAAGTATGTAGGGCAAAACTTGTTCAATACATGTATCGTGCGTGGAACATGAAATCGTGAACTGATTGCCACTAGTCGTGGTACTGTAGTAACACACTTTCAAGGGGATTTTTCTTTAGTTTATAATTTAGAGGTTTTCTTTTCTTTTTTTTTTCCTTTCCTTTTTTGCAAAATACCCCAAAGTTCAGGGGGATTTTGTGAAATCTGTAAAATCCTAGAGGAAGGGTGGATAAGGTTGATGATAAATCTAAGAGAACTAATTTGATTATCACACTGAAAGTTCCACCCATCCTAACAAACTAACTTACAAAACTGTTTGTTTGTTTAATTGTATCGGACTTTATGTGAATGGTATAAGATTGCTGTTTTCTGTGTCTTATGGATATTCCAATTTTATAACTTCCAGATCTGTACTTTGCTATATGCAGGTTATATTGGAGATGTTCCTATCATGCTAGCCAAACCACAAACATTTATGAATTCTAGTGGTGAGTCTGTAAGTAATCACATCAGAAAATCATCTTTTTGTGTTGAGGATGACAAATATATTTATGATTTGCATTTGGGATTTTCAATGAAGGTTGGTTCTCTGATATCATATTTCAAAGTACCACTGAATCAAGTACTTCTGGTAAAATGTCCATCTTCAGTTTTTGTAGTTAGATGGTTAATCAGCATGCAAATTGTTTGCCATAGCTTACTGTTGAGTGTTATTCTCTGCAGATATATGATGACATGGACTTACCATTTGCAAAATTACGGTTGTTGCCAAAAGGTGGACATGGGGGACATAACGGGTATTATGTTCTGTCCTAGCTCCTTTATGCTTGCAGAATACAATATCATTATAAATCCTAATGACAATGAGCAAAAGAATACTTGTGGAGATCGTGCCAATAAATTTGGGCAAGATTACTTCAATGTAGCAATAGCATAGGTTACCATATAAATAAACAGCGACCACTTATACTCAATTTCATCCTATGGTTTGCTTTTCCAGTACCTTCACTATTTATTTGTCTCCAACTCCTAATATTTACTCTCTTAATCATGGAGAAAGCATGAACAATGATACTTGATTATGTTCCGTCCTTGTAGCTGTGGTTAACGTATTAGAATGTCTTCAATACAGTCTGGAACTTCTTTTCCACTTACAGTCCTCTTTTTCATATTTTAAAACACCAAAATCCTTTTTCTTAGTGCGGCTTTAGATCTTTGTTTTGCATGCAATGTTACAGAAGACGCTAGGCGGATTAGGCGTTTGAGCCAGCGCCTAGCGCCTGGACGCCTAGTGCCTAGCGCCTGGACGCTTAGGCATATTGTCTAGGCAGTGCCTAGGCGTTTAGCTAATTTTTAAATAATTTAATTATAATAATTGATAAAAATATGTATTAAATTTATATGAATTTGCCAAAAAAGATAGCAACCTTATATCCATAATAAACCATGTATACTTAAATACTAAATAGTTAAAATAATAACTAATAAGGTTATAGAAAGCTAGGAGGCCTAGAGCCTAGGAGATTTTTATTTTTTATTTTTTAAATATAATGATTGATAGTAAATATCAATGTTATAGAAAGTTTAGGTGCCGGATTGATGTCTAGGCAGATTTCTTTCTTCATTTAAATGGTGGTTGATGAGATTTTGCTGAAGGTCGGAAGAGGTAGTGGAAATGTTCATATTTGGAGGTTAAAGGAGTTTGAAGGAGGTTGGAGAACGTGGAGGCTGCAACACAGAAAATCACGATCAATACCTAAAGGGTGCAGTCCACATTAGTAGACAATGGCCCCCTAAACACTCTCAAAATCTATGTGGGCAGCCTAGGTATCGCGCATGCGCTAGGTGTTAGTTAGGCGGCATGCGCTAGGTGTTAGTTAGGCGGCCTAGGCCTAGGCACCGCCTAGGCCTAGGCGTACGTCTAGGCGGACTAAGCAGAGGTTTTTTAAAATAGTGTTTGCATGCAAATGTCATTCTCGCAATCCACCACCATTAGACCCTTCAGTAGCTAGTGAACTAACTATCTTTACATGTTACATGGTTACTCTCCCAGTCCCGCCAGTTTCTGTAGAAAGAATATTGAAGAATGGTGAAAATGTTTGTACCTTTAGTTTAACATATCATCATTAATTTCATTTGTGATCTTGCATCCTCTCTGGATGATCGTAAAAGGATTAAAAAATGAACGTGCACACACAGCACACTTCTTCTGAATATAAATATTGTTTAGGAAGTAACTTTTAGCTAGTGATTTTAAATGGGCAACAACAATAACAATGGAGCCTTTATCACAAAATTTGGGGTCAATTACATGAATACTATTCTTCCATTCAGTTCTATTTTGGATTATCTCATTTGTGAAGTTAACCAAAACCATATCTTTCTTAACCGTGTCTAACCAAGTTTTATTAGGTCTACCTTTAGGCCTCCTTGCTTCATTAATTATAATCTTATCATCTATCCTAAGTGGTGTATTTGTCATGTCCCTTCCTTGTGGCCGAAACATCTCATTGTGGTTTAGAATGGACCTGAAAATTAATACGCAGTAATAGACTGCAATCATCAAAAGGTTGACTTGTTGGGAAAGGAATTTTTTTCCTACTTTAATTATTTACTTTCCTTCATTGTCTTCATCACTATTGAGAGATTATGGGACCACATGTTAATTAGCTTTTGGTCAATTTCATATTTTCACAGGATGCGCAGTGTAATTAATCACTTTAACGGAAGCCGTGAATTTCCACGTCTAAAAATAGGTGATGCATGATGTCCACTTATATCTTCATGCAGTTTGTTTTACCTAATCGTATTCACAAAATAACATCATTCATTGGAATCTGTGAAGGCATTGGACGGCCACCGGGCAAAATGGACCCTGTCAATTTTGTTCTTCGACCTTTCTGTAAGAAAGAACAAGAAGAGGTTTCCCCTTAATCTTTCACACTCATCTTTTTGGCACTCTTTTCTGTTTTTTCAATTAGCAAATTTATCGACAATTATAATGTGCTGCAGCTTGACTTCACCTTTCAAAGGGGCCTGGACGCGCTAAGGATTCTGGTCCTCGAGGGGTTCAATAAGAGTGCTACTTTTACTAACAGTGCGCAACCATCAGAACTCCTGAGCTGATGCGAGTTTGTCATCATTTATACATGAATTTGCTTCGTTTACGCTTTTTCATAATATCGAAGATTAATAGAATGAAGCATCATTCATTAGTTATTGGTGACATGTACAGGTTTTTTTTGTTTACCCTTAATTTTTCATAATATCAAATATTATTTGCGGTATAGTGTTGTTTTGATTATTGTAACTGTTTATTTGATTGGAGTGTATATCTGAACTGTTAACAATTTATATTTTGTATTTAGTTTAGGAGAATATTGTTTCTAAAATTTTAGCACTAATTTGTTGCAGTCAAGTTCCTTTACAGAGATGGCAGATGGTGGGTGAGCTGCTCCAATCTTTTTGCAGGTACCCGCTGATGCTCTCTGCAGCGATCATCGCTTGTTATTTTCGCAGCTACTTTGTCTTCATCTAAAAAAGTAAAAAGAAAAGGAAAATATATTAAAAAAAAAGATAGAGATTGTGGCTGTATTGTTTGTTATGCTCCTTAACTTATTTATGAGTCCAATCAGTTAACCCATTAAATACAGAGTAAATTTAGAGGCTACGCATCTCAAGGCATGTGTTTTTGTTCCTGAACTAAATTGGAAAGTTAACTGCTTCACTTTGTAGCTTACTTGGTTTTGCTATGTAAAACTGCAAAAGAAGAAAGAGGCCTTCAAAAACCAAAAATCGTCATGAAGGTTTCTAAATTTTGCAAACAACTTCATTATTATTTGTGGACCTACTCCAATTTCGCGCATCTTGTGGGTAACTGCACCAGAACTTATGCAAGTTGGACCCGGTTCAAAAAAGTCGTGCTAGTTTGATATAATAATTGGAAAAGAGGTTTATACGGCCACATGAGAATAATGAAATTCATTTGGCAGACAAATCTCAGAAATAATACTGAAACTTCCTTCGACTTTTGCAATTTGACTTCTATTATTTATCATCAAGTCTTGGTCTGTTTAATAATACACAAGTGCGTGTTGTTTTTAAATTCCAGGCAATTTCAGTCTCTTGTGAAAAGAATTTTTTTTTTATCTTTTTTGGGCGGACGGAAAAATCAATGCACGTTTATCTAAGTGATTAACCAGCTTTTATGAAACTCAATTTCCCCAAATAGGAAACCAAGCCGTTAAAAGAGATTAAGTATTTAATTAAAGCCAGAGATGAAAATAAAAGTCTAAGATAGACTCTCTGCATTTACGTCTACGATGTATAAGTAAGATCTCGTCCACAACCAGAACATTCCTGGAGTATTCTACTGAGGACTTGATCCAAACGTCGATAATTCCAATGATGACTTGATTAGCTTGTTCTTTATCAACGAAAGCTATTAACAGATAAATTGTCTTCGTCAGATAGATTTTTATATTAGATTAAAAGATTGAACAATTCTAAATACCAAATTATCCATTGATTTTACTTCCATAAAAATTGATAGCAAGACCATTATTTTTAATCATAAACATTTAGAGCTGTGATTCATCTAAAGTGAAAAATAATAATGAGTACAATCCAGGGTAGCACTTGCTTTTAAAGAAAATTACACAAACAGAAAATCCAAAATAAGAAGCAAAACATAAGGTCTGATAAGAAAAAGAAATATATAAACAATGAGAGAAAAAAAAATCCTAATGAGATAAGTAAACATTTAATAAAAAAAAATTCTAACAGAAAGAGATACCCTAATAGGAAAAGGAAGCATGTAATGAAAAAAAATGCTTATAAGAATTCAAACACAAGGAAAGCCCTCTAATGAAAAACATACTATAATAATTAAGCTACGATAATTACTAAAATTCCAAATAAATCTCAATCTTCATCAATTAAAAAAAAGACGACCCTCATCAAAACCGATGATTCCTTTGCGAGTTCTTGACAGGAAACAGAAGCACGGGACTAGTTTCCTTCGCTAACCCTACATACTCAAAATTCACTATAAATATGAAGCAACACCAACCCCTTCTTTAGACTCGCTCTACCCTTTTTCTCTCTTTTTCTGGCTCTCTTTCTCTTTCTCTCTCTCAAGAATCAATCAACAATGGGTTACAAAGTAGCCAAGGCCTCCCAATACTTGGCCATCACAGGGTGGGGCATCGACGACGTCAAGCTTGCGAAGAAGGCGTGGATTTTCCCGGGGCAGTCGTGCTCGACGTTCGACATATCTCCGGTGAACTACGAGTTCGATGTGCAGGCCATGAGCGCGGAGAAGCTGCCCTTCATCCTGCCGGCTGTGTTCACCATTGGGCCGAAGGAGGATGAGATGGAGATGATGCTGAAGTACGCAAAGCTCATGTCGTCGCACGACAAGAACTCGAACCACGTGAAGGAGTTGGTTCAGGGGGTCATCGAGGGCGAGACGAGGGTTCTTGCTGCGTCCATGACGATGGAGGATATTTTTAAGGGGACCAAGGAGTTCAAGAAGGAGGTTTTTGAGAAGGTTTGGTTTTTTTTCTCATGATAGTTTATTTATTAATAAACAAATATTTTTTAGTATTGGACTTTACGAAAAGAATAGAATTTAACCATATAATTTCAAATTGTTTGTTTATCAAATATTCGTTTAACATTTGATCACTTATTATTTGTATTATTGCAAATATGATGTCATATTTTTAACCCACTTACCATTTCTACTTAAGTTTTATGCATTGATTTTAAGACTTAAATAATTTTAAATCTGTTTTCTAATAAAAATTTTGATTTAAATATATACATAATATATTATAAATGAATCATTTTTACTTATGAATTTAAATAATATTTGAAATTAAATTCTTTAGCGGAATAAATATACTTTGATTTCGATAAGTATTTGTGAATAATCATGAATATTTATCAAATACCAAATATTCGAGTTCGAATTTGAAAAACTCCATATATGAATATTAGAGTCCGCATTTGAATTCGATAATTTTAAACAAATACAGATGCAAACACCTTAGTATTTGATTTGTGTTTACCACCCCTAATTATGCTGTCATCTGATTTGGGTCATACATTAATTTGTTTTGAAATGATTTGAAAATTTTCAAATACCTAATAAAATTAAAAAAAAAGAAAATAACAAGACGAAAATAAATTTCTGTCATACTCATACTCTATGTGAGTCAGACTCGTACTATCATTTTGGGGTGAGAAAGCATGAGTACTTGGGTCAAGGTGTCCCCAAGTGTTTGACTCTAGTTGGGGGGTGGGGATGCATAGCCGAATTTTATTTGGTTCCCCCAAGCAATTTTCCCTTTTTTTTTACAGTTTTGTTTCGATAAAATTGTTGGAATTACGACCCATTAAAATATTGCAATTGGTAATTTTCCTTATTTTTGAAGTATTTTTTTTGAACTCTGATGGTAATTTCTCCATTCTGACTTATTATTCTCTTCCAGGTTCAACTCGAGCTCAACCAGTTTGGTCTCCTAATTTACAACGCCAACGTGAAACAACTTGTTGATGTCGCGGGTCACGAGTACTTCTCCTACCTCGGCCAGAAGACCCAAATGGAGGCAGCCAACCAAGCCAAGGTCGACGTTGCAGAGGCCAGAATGAAGGGAGAAGTCGGATCGAAACAAAGAGAGGGAGAAACATTAAAGAACGCATCTGACATCGACACGAAAACAAAGATTTACTCGACACAGAGACAGGGAGAAGGGAAGAAGCAGGAGGCTAAGGTGAAGGCAGAAGTGAGGATATTTGAAAATGAGAGGGAGGCTGAGGTGGCAGAGGCTAATGCTACGCTGGCTATGAAGAAGGCCGAGTGGGTGAAGCAGACGCAGGTGGCTGAGGTGGTGGCAGCCAAGGCCGTGGCTGTGAGAGAGGCAGAGCTTCAGTTGGAAGTCGAGAAGAAGAATGCCATGAGGCAGACTGAGAAGCTTAAGGCTGAATTTCTCAGTAAGGCTACTGTGGACTATGAGATGAAGGTATCATTTACATCTGAATTCCCTTTGATTCTAATTCTTATTATGCAATTAGTATATTAGTACGTACATTGGCAGTTTCATGTCTGAGTATAGTCCCACGTTGACAAACTAAGATATATGGACAAATAAAATATTAGAGCTTTGCTTAAAAGATGAATTGGGTTACAAATTGTTAGAACAATCAAAAGCAAAGCAAATAGAAATATAATATGTACGAGGAGAGATTTCGTGGGAGAAACAAATAAAAAAGTTGTTTTTAGCTCTTGGTTACGGTAGCACTATCTTTTTTTCCTTTTAGGTAAAAGGATGCATGAATGCCTATTTAAAGGCTTTACAAAGTGTTTCATAATAGAATTATAGTATGACTATAATTCTTAAAGATAGCTAACTCAAATACCTTTAGAATTAGGATTAACTTCAACATCCCCCCTTAATCCTAATTCTGTAAGGTCTTCATTCTCATCATGTGCTTCAACTTGACAAACGCTTCAAACTTTAAAAGTTTCGTGAGGATCTCCGCAACTTGATCTTTAGACTTGCAATAAATCAACACGATCTCGTTTTTCTCAACATTGTCTCGTAAAAAGTGGTAACAAGTATGAATATGTTTGCTCCTTTCATGAGTGACTGGATTCTTCGCCAAGTCAATTGCGGACTTGTTGTCAACATAAATCTTTGTAGGACCTTAAACTTGAATATAAATCTGACTTAGCACATTACGCAACCAAATTGCTTGACAAGCACTCGTCGCAGCTGCTACATACTCCACTTCACAAGTTGAGAGTACAACAATAGACTGCTTCTTCGACGACCATGAAAATGCGATGGTGCCAGAATTAAAAACATAGCCAGAAGTACTTTTACGATCATCATGATCTTCACTCCAATCACTATCAAAATAGCCTACAACATCACAATTATTAGATAAAGAATAAAACAAACCATGATAATAAGTCCCCTTTAGGTACCACACAATTCTCTTTGTAACTTGTAGATGAGATTGGCGAGAGGTCTCTAAATATCTACTGATTAGACCAACTCCATAGGCTATATCTAGCCTCGTACATGTGAGATATATGAAACTCCCAACAATTTGCTTAAAATAAGTAGGATCAACTTGTGCACCATCACTTTCTCAAGATAGTTTAGTACCAACCTCCAAAGGAATTTTAGCATGATTGCAATTTAACATCTGAAATCTCTTCAATAACTTTGCACAATAGCTCCTTTGGCATATGAAAATCCTATCATCTCCTTGAACTACTTCAATGCCAAGAAAATAAGACATAAGCTAAGATCTGTCATCTCAATTCATGCATCATCGACTTCTTAAAATCTTCAATCATACTAATATTATTTCCTGTAAAAATCAAGTCATCAACATAAAGGCATAATAGTAGTATATCACCAGAGTTGTTTAACTTCACATATAAGACATGCTCGGAGGGGCACTTCTGAAATCAACCTTCTTAAAAGAGAGATTCAATTCTTTTGTTCTATGCTCACGGTGCTTGCTTCAGCCCGTACAAGATTTTTTTCCAACTTGTATACTTTATGCTCACATCCTTTCTTCACAAATCCAGGTGATTACTTCACGAAAACTTCTTCTTCAACTGGCCCATTAAGAAAAGTTAACTTCACATCCATCTGATGAATATTCCAATGATTCTGTGCAGCCAGGGCAATTATTAATCTAACAGTTTTAATTCTAGTAACAGGAAAAAATACCTCTTGGTAATCATAACCAGGCTTTTGTTTGTAGACTTTAGCCACCAATCTTGCTTTATGCCGCTCAACCTCGCTGTTTACTTTAATATTTGTTTTGAAAACCCACTTCACATCGACTGCTTTATGTCCTTGTGGGATATTAGTAAGCTCCCACGTGTCATTCTTCTCAATCGCCTTGATCTCTCCTTTCATTGCATTTATCCACTTAGGATCTTGAATAGCCTCTTCAAACATAACTAGCTCACAATCTGCAAACATTGCGAAGTGCACTATATCTCCATCTGCATCAACATCATCATCTGGAGTTACTTCATAATCTCTCAAGAGAACTGATGGTTGATGATTTCTTCTTGGTCTTTCAACTTCTAATGGAACTTGTGGGGTTGGAACTTCAGAAGCATTAGCCGATTTTCATTTGCAATAGGAACATCATCTTCAATAATATCAATGAGAGTACGCCGTGAATCGTTTTGTGCTTCTAGATCCTAATTCCAAGCATCTTCTTCAGCAAACATAACATCTTTTCTTACAATCACCTTTTTTGTAGTAAGATTGTAGAGTTTGTAGCCCCCGGACTTGAAGCCAATAAAAACTATCTTCTCGCCTTTGTCATCAAGTTTCTTTCTTCTTTCTGCTGGAATATGAGTATAAGCAATGGAGCCAAACACTTTGAGATGTCTTACACTTGACTTATAACCATGCCACGCCTCTTTAGGATTAAGATTATCAATGCACTTTATTGGTGACCTATTCAACAAGTATACAGTGCATGAGACAGTTTCATCCCCAAAATAATTTGGCATACATTTGGTCTTTAGCATGCTTCTTGCCATCTCAAGTATCGTCCGGCTTTACGTTTAGAGTGACATCACGCTTTATTCCTTCTTTTGCACAATACTTATTAAATTCATTAGAAGTATATTCACATCCTCCATCTGTTCGTAGTACCTTGATAAAGTAACCGCTTTCCTTCTCAACTAGGGCCTTAAAGCTCTTAAAATGACTTTAGATTTTTGCTGCAAAAAGTAGACCCATATTTTCATTGTAAAATCATCAATAAAAGTAAAGAAGTATCGATTATTGCCATTGGATATAGTGTTCATAGGACCGTACACATCTGAATGAATGAGCTCAAGATGCTTCTTTGCATGTCAAGTATTTTTAATACCAAATGGTGATCTATGTTGCTTTCCAAGAATACAACCTTCACACAACTGTTCAAGATGATCTATAATGGGCAAGCCTCTCACTAAATTTCTTTGTGCAAGCAACTTTAGACTGCGAAAGTTCAGATGTCCAAACCGAAGATACCATAACCAAGACTTATCTTTCATAATGACATTGAAGCAATGATAAATATTGTTCTGGATGTCAACTCGAAACATGTGATTATTTGTCATGGGGGCTTTAAGGATAAATACACCTCTTTTATCAAAGATTAGGAGTTAATTACCAGAGAAGCGCATATCATACACCTTTTCAAGAAGTTGGCCCATACTGAGTAAATTGTTTTTCATATTTGGCACATAGAATACATCGGAAATAAACTTGTAGTCTCCGTTCTTCAGCTTGATTAGAACTCTTCCTTTTTTCCATCACTGGTATAATGTTGTCATCGACACAAACTTGACTTTGGAACGCATCGACTCATCTAGGTCCACGAACAACTCCTTATTTCCGCACATGTGATTAGAACATCTAGTGTCAAGAAACCATGTGTTGTAGTTTAATTCTTCACCGGCTGTCGTGACCATCGATAAAGTGTGGTTGTCTTCATCACCACTTTCTTGTGCAAATCAAATTTCTTCTCCGGATGTGGAATTATCCTGGTACTTGAACTCCTTTGCATAGTGGCCATATATGTGACATATGTAACATTCACTATTTAATTTATTAAAATTTCCTCTACTACGTCCAAAGCCTCGACCTCGGCCTCGACCTTGACAATTTAAATTTCATTGATAATTGCTTCTCTGATTGCCGTCATATCTTTGATTGTTTTTATAACTGTCATGTACTTGACTATTGTAATATCCATGTCCTCAGTTATTGTAGTTTCCATATCCTCGTCCTCTGCGACGAGAATTTCCTCCTTGCTGGTCTCTTTCGTACTGCGCCCCTTTGTTATTTTTTTTATAAAAACTTGACTTTGAAAATCTTTCTCAAGGGGCTTCTCGGTTGACCTCTCGTTCATGCGTTGCTCGTGAACTTGTAAGGTACCCATCAAGTTATCAACTGTCACCTTGGACAAATTCTTCAATTCTTTGATTGCCACCACGATATGATCAAATTTTCCTGTAAGAGATCGCAATATCTTCTCCACAATTGTTAAATCTATAACCTTCTCCCCGATTATTTAATTTGATTTGTCAAAGCAACTACTCGAGTCACATAATCTGCAACACTTTCAGAGGATTCCATCTGCAAAATTTCAAATTGACATATCAATGTTTGAAGCCTAACTTTTTTCACCTTTTCAACTCCATGGTATGATGTCTCCAAAGTATCCCACATTTGCTTTGCTGTAGTTGCTCCGTCGATCTTCTAAAAAAACTGAATCATTCACTTCTTGATGGATGTAGAATAACACCTTTCGATCATTCTTCTTAATCTCACCGTGGGCTTTCTTCTCGGCTTCACTTGCGTTATCTGTGAGATCGGTAACTCTGTTCTCTACGGCATCCAATATATCTTGATATTCAAACAACACCTTCATCTGCACTCTCTATTGGTGACAATTCTTCCCATTTAATATAGGAATAGAAGACGATATCGTCTCGTTTAGATTGTTCATGGCTCTGATACCACTGTTGGAACAATCAAAAGCAAAGCAAATAGAAGCATAATATGTATGAGGAGAGATTTAGTGGGAGAAACAAACAAAAAAGCTATTTTTAGCTCTCGGTTACTGATGGGAGAAGCAAATAAAAAAGCTTTAATCACTACCACAGACTTAGGCTAAGGCAACAGTTAAAAACTGCTACGTTAGCCTAAAAACCGTTACCTTAGGGCAAGTGCAGCGGTTGCCCATCCGTCTTCTTTGCGGGCGTTGCCCTAGAACATAGACAACGGTTTTCCCCTATAGAGGAACAGTTTAATAACCGTTCTATTAGGTACCTTAATGTAACGGTTTAGTCTAATGTGACGGTTTATTACCACCTAAGACTATGGTTACCTTAGCTAAAGTAACGGTTCATTTTAATGAACCGCACGCAAGCGCGACGATTTTTCTGACCTAAGGCAGCGGTTCTCCTTTTTTTTGTTCCTAATAGCAGCTTTTGTTTAGAATTGTTAAACCTAAAAAATGCCAAATGCCAATATTAGAAGGGAAAAAAATATGAAACAAAAAAATTATGAAACACGATGCTGGAAGTCAAACATCAATTGATTTCTATTGAATCTCTAAATGATACAAATAATATATCAAAATATTTCATAATTTGTGTCAAAAAATTCGTGTAGCATTAATGTCAACATCTGAACTGATCTTCACCTTCATGTATACGGTATTTTTGCCCATTACCACTTCCATAACTGTCTTGTTTTCCTGCAAACAAAGAGAGAGAATATATTAGTTCATTGTTGATAGAGACAATCACGTAGAATATTAACCATTTATGAGCAGAAAGTCATTTGTAGCAATAGTATATGCACAAAGAACTCCAAATTACATATTAAGATAAATTACATTTTGGGAAAATAATTTATGTACGTGTTTATGTGAAAACTAAAGTACAAAAAAATTACTGCAGCATAGAGTGAGCAGAAAATTCAATAGCTGGTACATAAGCTACAATCTCTTTCTCTCAATAAGAATGACTTTGAGGTCCTAAATAGGAAAAGAATGTGATGATCAAGGTTATATCACACATGACAGTGCAAGAAATCATTACTGGCTAGATTTCAACAAATGCAGTCACATAACACTTAATTTAGAAACAAACAACCAAGACCATAAATTTTTTTTTTGAATCATAGCTTACAATGGATTAAGGTTCGGAGGAATATTATAAGGAATTTGGCCTCCATTTGCAAGGCCATTGCTGCTCATGTCCCTACACAATTTGAAGGAAATTAAATCTTTCAAAAAAAATCACATACAAAATTTAAATATAAGATTACTCATAGAGAAGCAATGTCACTCAAAGATCAACTACCAAAGTCATAGTTTGCATGTCGTAGACCAATGTTCATTTCAAACATGAACATATTGTATTATAAATAACTTACAACCATTTAAGGTTTGGTGGAAGATTAATTCTTAATCTTGAATTAGAAAAAAAATGGAACAATACAAGGAAAGTGAAAACTAATCTAGAACTAAATTGGTAATGATATTACAAAGATGCACACATTTATAAAAGTAAACAAAATTGAGAAAAATATATGATTATGAAATATAAAATTTAGGACTTACAATTTTATCGGGAACCATTATATAGCATATTTTCAGATAGTGAACCTCCTTGGCCTGTTACACAAAAGAAATGTGATACAGTTGTTACACTAGAATACACTTAAACGTTCTCTTAAACTAAACGGAAGAAACAAATGAGTATACGAACTTGATAATGATTCTAAAAATTTTATCAGCTTATGATTGAAACCATCAAAACAAAAAATTTCACTAACATCAGGGATGTTACTTCAGATTCACAAAAGATAGTATGATGTTAGTTACATCTTTCTTTCTAAAAATATTTGAATAGATTAAAACTAAAATGACAACAATTTGATTTGGCAATAAGCTTCCAACTGCAGCTGTGCAAGTGAGATAATATCAAACACAAACAATTGAGTTTTTCTTTTTTTTAAATGAATATTTATTCATATGCATGTCTATCTGTTTTAACATCATGGTAGTTTCCTAGTATCAATCGTTTATGCATAGATTAAACTTCAATAACTATTCTCCAAATAGAATAAGTGATTACAAGTAAATTAAGCTGATTACTTATTCTCCTCTTCAAACAAATTCCCCAGCACGCTAGCATTAGAAAACCGATCTATCCTTCAAGGTTAAAATTTAGTCAATGTGATGTCAGAAGAAATATTTTGAGATAAAATACCTTACGATATTAATAATTTGGCATGAGAAAAGTTTTGAGACAATGGCGCCCTCACATTTTAGTAATCATCAATTGGAAACCACTTAAAAGTAAGAATCCCTAAAGTGAGACACTCTTAGAAACTATTCTAACATAAACAAGAAGATTCAAACATGTATTACTACTAATTATGGTGGAAATTTACAAAAAAGTTAGCTAGTTTCTGAAATCAAAAGAAGTATAATGCAAGTAATATTTCCTGGTAGCCCTTGAGACTCCCTCTACAGAGTTGAAAATATTTTTTCAAGTTATCTTAATTTACACAATTTTTTTAAAAAGACTATATATACGTACATATATATATATATTAAAAAAAAAACTAACCTTACAAAAGAAGAGTGCGAAAAATGGGCACCACAAAAAAAAAAAAAAAACAAACTCTTAAATTCAAGGTGATTCTATCTTATAAAGCCTAAGTTGACTGAGCAATTGAAACTATTCTAACATAAACAAGAAGATTCAAACATGTATTACTACTAATTATGGTGGAAATTTACAAAAGAGTTAGCTAGTTTCTGAGATCAAAAGAAGTATAATGCAAGTAATATTTCCTGGTAGCCCTTGAGACTCCCTCTACAGGCAACATAATGCAAACTGAGCTCTTCGCTCATGCCACATTCACAGAATAAGCGTAGTCCAAATCATCATAATATCCTTTTCACAGTAAAAAGAAGATTGAAAGACCAACTAAGTATTAAAGCTAAGGCCAATATACAAATGACTAAATTAGTTCCTTATGGAGAATTGTCACTCTTGAAAGTTGAACTAGCCACTCTAAAAGGAGCATTAAGATAGCAACAACCTTATCCATCTTACGTGACCGTCAATGAGTTGCTTCTTAAATAAGTACAGCATGTAACCCTAAAAACATACAGCTATAGTTATGTCAGTTTTTTTACTAACTATAACATCACTTTTGCTCTTCTTTTTAATTAAAAACATATGCCAATATGCTCAATGTACTTGAAAATATTTCTATTATTGATCATAGAAGCTTCTCTTTTATAAGGTTATGTAAGGTCACTTTTGGATTTAACCTGCATCCATCAGTATCGCCGAAAGACACTTTTTGAAGTAAAATATAGTAACGATTATATAATGAAACAAAATTAGGGATTTTTTTATCTTGCATTAACACCATCTAAATTAGGTCCAAACCAGCTCAAAATTCAAAATTAGGAAAAAGATTACACTAAATCATCATGACCTTTTCCTTCTAATTTGTGTCTGCTTACGCTAATTCTGGATAAATACAGAAGCCTCAAATAGCTGGGCCAGTTACTAAAACTATTCACCAAGTTGTGCAAAAAAAATGAAGAGTTCCTTACACGTATAAATAAAGTGATCACCTTATAGAATTTTACCAAGACACATGACCCTCACGAGACTACAACTCGTCCACTAGGGTAACCTAGGGGTTTAAAGGCTTGTTGTATACGCCAAATACAACCGCGATTCCTACGAAAGTGAGTTAGGATTTTCTTTTTATTTTTCTTTGCTAGAGGACTAGCAAAAGTTTAAAAAATCATATCATATAAATAAAGTGATCATGATTGCCATATACAATTTTAGCATCACATAGTTGAGGAATTGACCACTAAAAGATGATCTTTTAGAGTTCTGAATCTGAGCATATAGTTTCCAATTTATTGTCAAAACCTAGATATACCCAGAAACTGAAGAAATTAATGAAATGAATTTCCAGAGCAATGATCCTCAAAGCTTTGATTTAAACCCTAAATCTACATCAACAACTACAACGACATGCACGAGATGAAAGAACCTAAAAATCACCGAGATCGAGTCACTTTCCAATATCTTACTGAACTTGAGATGGTGCTGCTCGCCGGCGAGATTGAGCTAACAATTGATGAAGACGACCATGCCGCCAGCGAGGATGAGGTAGAATTGCTAATGGTGATGAGAATTTGCGATGGAGATTGAGAACTAATGTTTTGGGCGATGGTGAAGTGAGAACTAGGGTTTTTGACGATGGTTAATTTAGAGTGAGGGTTTTCAATTTTGGGAGTTTCGAGAGCGGCGATCGAGATGCGAGAGATCAGTTTATAACAGAAAAGTTAATTTATGAAAGACTCAACTCCATTGTCACCTAATAAAAGTCCAATAGTTACGCGTCAGCCCAAAACCTCCGGAACAATGATTCGGCCGAACATACTGTTTTTTTCACAAACCGCGGCATTAGACCTGTTGTCACGGTTAGAACCGCTGCAAAACCGCTCCCATAGGTACCTTAATGCAACGGTTAAAAACGTTACACCGAAACTGTTGTGGTAGCTCAAAATCGTGGTAGTGTTTTTTTAGCTCTTGGTTACTATAGCTACAATACTTGGCCCCTATTTTTTTTCTCTTTTTTTCTCCTAGGTAGAAGGATGCATGAATACCTATTTAAAGGCTTTACAAAGTATTTCATAATAAAATTCTAGTATGACTATAATTCCTAGAGATAACTAACTCAAATCCTTATAGAATTGGGATTAGCTTCAACACAAATCTCTATACTATCGTCTCAAATTCCTTCAAACATATGCACATCTTGCTTTTATTGATCCTTTTGTTTGCATATTAATCTACTTCACTAACTCAATTTTGTTAAGGATCTTACACTATTAGTAACTTTAAAATTACCTCCTATGAAATATTATCAAATGTAACATTGATGATAAATCTATAATCTCAGTTCAATATTCGTTATCAAATTTTTACACTAAACACATTACATACTCTTTGTGCTTACCCAAACTGGTCCTTGAATATACAACCACACTAGAAGTTGGGCAAAATAATCTGCTTCTAATGCGTGTAAAGGGTATCCAGGCTTATGTCTTGAAGTTCTTTCAAACTTCAAACATCGCTAATTTATTAGTTCTATTTCGCTAAAGTAAAAGTGTCCTTCAGGCTCAATTGACTGATACAATATAACGTGATTGACTAATGTGCAACTCTGTTAAGTCTGATTCCTGTTGGGGCTAAAATTTGTATGACAGGTGCAAGAAGCAAACTGGATTCTCTACAACAAGCAAAAGGAGGCTGAAGCTCAACTCTACCAGCAAGAAAAAGAAGCAGAGGGACGCCGTGCAGTCGCAGAAGCCGCCTTCTTCTCTCGCCAGCAGGAGGCAGACGGAGAGCTCTACGCCAAGCAAAAGGAGGCTGAGGGACTACAGGCTCTAGCTCAAGCACAGGGATTCTACCTGGAAACTCTACTGAAAGCCCTTGGAGGAAATTATGCTGCACTGAGAGATTACCTGATGATCAATGAAGGAGTTTACCGAGATATGGCTCGTATTAATGCTGATGCTGTTAAGGGGTTGCAGCCCAAGATCAGTGTTTGGAGCAATGGAGAGGGTGCTAGCAATGGCGAGCTTGCTAGTGGTGGTGCCGCTGGAGCCATGAAGGAGATTGCTGGGGTGTATAAGATGCTGCCTCCATTGTTCAGTACAGTTCAGGAACAGACTGGGATGGTTCCTCCTGCTTGGATGGGTACAATCCCTAGATGAATTTGAGCTTGCCTTCAAGGATGTTTCAGTTTGAACAGTCTATGTTGGGAGTGCTATTTTGTTCATCATGTGGAATTTGTAATCTTGTTTGATGAAAAGAGTTTGTTTGTTCCTTCTGCTGTGGTTGAGCATTGCTAAGTATTCTAATCTTTTAGCTCAGGAATGTTATTATTTGTAGTGGATGATTTACATGGAGAATACATATCACTCGACCAAGAATTAGATGCGGACAGAATCACCCATCGATTAAAGTGGGTCTCGTGGTTGAGAAAAAAAATCCTATGGTATAAATTGGAGGCCTAGAGAATTGCACCTCATTTTGCTGTTTGTGGGGCATATTGTACAGTGATGATACTTTTAATGAAGAGATTGTCCTGCATGAGGATGTCTAAGAGCCATTCTATTGTTCATCATATACTTTGGCAATACTAGTATTTATTTTTCTCCCTTTTATTTCTTAATCATGATTGTTCTTAATCTTAATCTTCCGATGTGATTTCAATATTTGAGTTATCTCAAAGTAAGAAACGTATTGCAGAAAAAAGCTAAAGGTGTGAAAAAATGATTCACTCCTCATTGATAAACTATAACAGACTTGATCTTATCTACGACACAACCAAATAGAAGAAATTTACATAACATTCAGATCAAATCCGCTATCAAAGAGGGCCTTCAATCCTAATACAAAGAAGAGTTAAATATTGCTTGAAATTACCAAAATAAAGAATAATGTGGTTGAATTTCAAGCTGATCATATAGACAATTTAGAGGCATATGCACGGCAAGGTCTAAAGGAAATTTCACAAAATATAACAACAAGCAACTCAAGAACTTTTTTGGTGCATAACAAATTCCTAACACAAACTCTACTGCATATAGTATGGAGCAAAACGGTGATATTCATCAAAGACATCATCGTTATAACTACTGCCGACAGAACATTGCCATTCCCGAGTGCAGGTTGTTGAAGTCAGCAGCAGGCCCCCACCTAATCCCCCCACCTACCTAGATACAGTAATCACCTAACCCTAATAGTGTTTACCTACTCTAAACCAATGTTATAAATAACCCCCAAGTGTTTGTGTTAGATCTATCCCAATAGGAGAGAGAGAGAGAGAGAGAGAGAGAGAGAGAGAGAGAGAGAGAGAGAGAGAGAGAGAGAGTTTGAGAGTACAGTGTGTTTGTACTACTAAAAAAATAATAACAATATATTTCTTAGTGTCCACCACTCCTTTCAACTCAACAAGTGGTAACAGAGCCTAAATTAGCTTGCATGTATCTGCTTATCTTATGTTTTGTGGTTGTCACCAAAGGTGGATCCTCAACATTAGAAAATAAGTTAGATTATTATTTACCCTTTGAAGGAATCGATTATTATTCACGAGTATGGTTACTATTCATGAATACAGTTATTTTTCATAATTATGGTTACTGTTCCCGTGAAATAGTAGAAGTTGCAGATCGTGATAGAAGTAAGGCGGTCGGGACCCGCTCTCTCTTACGGTGATCCTATCAGCATTCTTGAAGGCCGAAGCTCGTGTTCAGTCCGGGACTATGAACTTGGTTGGTCAGGGACCAAACTTGCATGGAGATACTAAAGCAGTACTACGTCACTATGGCGGAATTGACAAATACGACAACTACACTCAAGAAACTCAATGGTAATAACTATAACTACTGGGAGACATGTATGAAGTCCTATTTACAAGGACAAGACCTATGCGAGGTCATCGGGAGTGCTGAAACTACAGCACCTCGGAAAGCTGGTGAAGCACTAAGAAAGTAGAATATCAAACCCGACAAGGCTATATATGTGTTGAAGACGATAGTAGAAGAAGATCTCATAGACTATATGTGAGATGCTAGAACTCCGAAGGAGGTATGGGATACACTCACAATACTCTTCTCGAAAAAGAACGATGCTTGACTTCAACTCCTGGAGAACCAATTGATGACCTTACAATAGAAGGATCTGACAATCAGTCAATACTTCAAGCAAGTAAAATCACTCTGTTCAGATATTACTCAACTAGATCCAGATTTTAAAGTATTCGCTGCAATGATGAGGAGAATAATCATCCATGGTTTAAGACCAGAATATTACGGACTCGTTGCTGCTACACATGGGTGGTTGACTCAACCAACATTTTAAAGTTGGAGAGTTTGCTCGCTACACAGGAAATCCTAGCCAAACAAATGGCTGGCGTTTCAATAAAAAGCAAAGATGAAGTACTCTTCAATAGTAAGGAGAGAGGAAAACCAAGAGGCGTGAGGAAAAAGGAGTATGGAAAGGCTGGTTTAAGGAGGCAGCCAGGACGGCCATACACTGATAGAACACAACAACGTGAGGAGCAAGGTGATCGTCGAGCAAGGAGACCTGGCAATAGCTGCTACAACTGTGGGAAGAAAGGACACTTTGCTAGAGATTGCTATTACAAGAGAAGGCCTGCAGAGGGCAATGCTGCAACATCGCGCAGATGTCAAGATGATGAAAAAGAATGGGATGCCCAAGCATCCGTGGCCATCATTGAAGATGTACCAGTCAACGAAAATGAGGTTGTTGGTATGAGACTAACCTTGATTGTAGAAGGATCTGAGTCCGCATTTGCATTTGTTTTAGATCGAGAAGAAATCAGCTATAATAAAGATTAGATCGTTGATTCTGGTTGTTCTAATCACATGACGAGAGATAAGGGGAAACTTGTTAACATGAAGGAGTATAAAAGCGGACGAGAAGTTATGATAGCGAATAATTCAAGATTACCTATCACACACATCGAAAAGACTGCATTTACGCCGTGATACAACCCAAATCAGATATCACTTGCTCCTGCAGATACTATTTTATTTGTCAAACAGACTGGCAATAGGCTAACAATCATGTTGGTCTATGTGGATGACTTAATCCTAACTAGAGATGATGATACGGAAATCGAAAAAACAAGGACAAATTTCTTGGTCAGGTTTCAAATGAAGTAGCTTAGGGAGCTCAAGCATTTCCTCGGGTTGGAGGTCGACCGAAGGAAGGATGGACTATTCCTATGCCAAGAAAAATATGCGAAGGACATGCTGCTCAAGTACGAGATGTTCAACCGCAAGTCAATCTCAACACCGATGGAGACAAATCTGAGACTGTGTGCACATGAAAGAAAAGATTTAGAAGATCCAACTATATATCAACAACTAGTTGGAAGCTTGATTTATCTAACAATGACAAGATTAGATATTTTATTTGCGGTTGGTGTGATGAGCCGATACATGCAGAAGCCAAAGAAGCCTCACTTAGAAGCAATACGAAGGATCCTAAGGTACATCAAGGGTACAGTTAACTATGGTCTCATATATAAGAAAGGAGAAGAATGTGAGGTTTATGGCTATTGTGATGCTGACTATGCTGGAGATCATGACACTCGAAGGTCTACTACCGAATATGTGTTTAGTCTCGGTTCAACGGCTATATCTTAGTGTAGCAAAAGACAGTCAATGGTATCACTGTCAACTACTGAGGCTGAGTATAGATCAACAGCGATGGTAGCTTTGGAAAGTACATGGCTTTTTTAGTTAATAAGAGATCTAAATCATTCCACAAACTATTTAGTAGCTTTACATTATGATAATCAGTTTGCAATACGATTGACAGATAATCAGCTTCTCATGCTAGGATGAAACACATTGAAGTACATCATCCCTTTCTTCGAGAGAAAGTTCTTCAAGAGGAGATTGTAATGAAGCCAATCGGGGCAAACAAACAAATAACTTACATATTCACCAAAGCACTGAGTACTTTAAAGTTTGCAGAATTTCGAAGTCATCTTGGAATGGATAGAGAAGTCTCTGCTAAGGGGGAGTGTTGAAGTCAACAGTTTCTTCCCCCACCTACCTAGCTATAGTAATAACCTAATCCTAATAGTGTTTACGTACCCTAAACCAATGTTATAAATAATCCCAAGTGTTTGTGTTAGATCCATCCCAGTAGCAGAGAGAGAAAGAGAAAGATATATATATAGGGAAAAGTGAATCTAAGGTGACACCCTAGGCTCCCACCTAAGGACGCGGCCTAAAATCACACCATTCCCTAATATTTTTTTACGATCCGCTCCGTTGAACTTGATCTACACGTTCTTAAACTCAAACACACCAATTTTGGGGTGAACCCGTCGTGTTTTGACCATTCGTTGAGTCGTCCAAAAAGTTCTATTCATTCGAAACCATTAAAATTGCGGAAAGTGGATGAAGGGTCAAAACACGACGGGTTCACCCCAAAATTGGTGTGTTTAGGTTTAAGAACGTGCAGATCAAGTTCAA